TTGTAATCTGATATATCACTCTGTAATATTGTGATAATATTGCTGGAATATTATATAATAATCTTGTGATTTTGTAATATTGCTACGATATTATAATATTGCTTCAATATTGCTGCAATATTGCAGTGCTGTGTGGGAATATACTGAAGTATTTTTGTCATTTGATATCCACAAGATATCTGTAGAAATTAGCAAACAGCAGTATTACGTAGGATATCATGATTGCAAGTTATTAGTTAGACTCACATACTATAGTATAGATATTATGTTAAACAGCAATCGCAGTAGTATTGTAACTATTAATAAGTCAAAATTATAACACATATATATATTTATTTATAAAAGTATGTTACAGCAATTAATATTAAATAAAAATTTGCTTCTTTAGTTAATATACTAAATGGTGCACATACTTAATAGTATTCGTAACAAAATATAAACATATGTATATAAAACATAAATAAAGTGTTTTATCTACTTTGGTAGTAAAAGATAAACGAAAAACATCAAAGAACTATCAAAAATTATGAACACATATATGTAAAAGGAACACATATAAATGAAAAATATTATATTAGTACTATTAATAAAACTATTAATAAAATTACTATATTAAATGATAATATCATTGTTAATCATGAGCCACCGTTTCTCCAATTTTTTGCCTTGAAATCCATACAGACGCTTGTACAAGCCATTTCGATACATACTCCGTATAGTCGTGTCTGTCATTGCGCTGTGGGATATACGAACAGCTTCTGAAATATATATCATTACCATATTATTATTTTTATAAAATTTTAAATAATAATTAAATAGCAACTTGAATCTAAATAATACCGTTATTTGCAATATTGATCAAAATCATATTGCTTTATGGAGTAGAATTACATTTTTTTCTTTAAAATTCGTTCATTTTGTGTAAAAGCGAATCGAAATAGCTTATAGTCTAATCAATTTTCAAAGTGAAATCTGGGAAACCAAATAAATACCCAAGAGATATATAGTCTTATCTGTATGCATTGCTTACAACACCTGTTGCAGGGTGTAGTCTGCCTGGACTCGGGGCCTCGACAAGCAGTTACGCGGCTCCGGGGTCCCGAAGCCAGTCCCTTCGCAGCGCCACCCGGGGAGGTTTTAGCCAGTAGGAGTCCGGCATAACCTTGGCCCTTCCCCGAGGGTCAGGGTATCCATGATGGATTTCCTCCTCGTCAAAAAAAAAAAAAAAGGGTGTAGTCTACGTATATACTTATATAGGTCGACAAAATACAATTTCTGAGTACGGTGGTTCCAATGAGGCCTTTCAGAAAGATTATAAGGCTCCGTCAGTTTCTCAACACACACATTTGTGTCATCTGCAACTTGACTAAATAAAATATAAAGGGACGAATTGTAATATTTTACAGAGTGAATTGCGTTATAAAACGCTATTTACATTGCCATTATATGTCGATAAACGTTCTTTCTCGTTTGAGATGAAAATATAACTGCGATTTAGATCAGTTTGATCGAAAGACGTTACAATAACGTCTTTGTTACAATAACCAAATGTATTTACATATCTCTTTTCTCCAGCTACGTAACAGACACTGTAAGGAGATTCCAACTTCCAGCTAGAGAGCCTCAAAGGGATAAAGTGGCAAACTGATCACGTGACCAGGTCTCTCCTGATTCGATGGAGGCACAAGGTCTTCTTCACCAATTAGAATATTGATATAGCATGACGACAAGCTGGTTTTACAATAAGTCATAGAGTTAAGACCGACTTTAACCCTAACTAGTCTAACATTTGGTGATTTAAGCCGTAAGCTTTAAAAATTGAACAATCGCAGTCAAGTTTTTTTGTAACATTTATCAACGAATAGAGGTTAAAAGAGGAGGTAAAAAGAGGAGGTTAAAGCGTTTAGCGTCGCATAGGACATTCGTTCACGGATATTCAATTGTTACTGCAAATTAATATCTTTGCAATATAGCTGCAATATTGCAGAAATAATATTGCACAATATTATTTTTGCAATTTTGCTGTAATATTGCACTGTAATATGCAATTTTGCAATGTTACAACAATGTTGCTGCAGCTTCTGTGCTGTATGGGAATCTTATTTATAATTCTATCGAATAATTATTTTGCTCATCATATCTTGACTGTTATACATACTGAAAGAAAACTGATAAAGATCTTAATTCATAACTATTATATAACACATGTGTTATATAACAGTTATATTGTTAAGTAGGAAATTACAACTAACATGCACGTTACATGTAATATTAGGCCTGTTCGTTTTGTCTGCATTGCTGAACTGGTGTATTAAGTTAAAGTGAGACAAACGTAGGTTTTCTCACTTCAACTTGTTGCAGTTCAGCAGTGCAGACAAAACGATGCAAACAAACAGGCCTATTGTGTTTGCTGGGATGATTCCTCCTGATGATATACAGGGTTTTTCAATAAGGGCGGGTCGATGTTGCAATGGAATAAAACAAGCTGTGTGTGAGGTATTAACGAAATTCTTTTTTTATTTGAAAGGCCCATGTATGCCATGTTATATATGAAATATAATATCGTTCAAATGTCCGTCGCGGCTTCTCACGGTGGCACGGATCCGAGTAGTCCAATTTTCAATGATTCTGCCGCATAGATCCGGCTTAATTTGAGCGATGGCCTGGGTTATGTTGACTTTAAGGGCATCAGTCGATTGCGGTTTATTGGCATAGACCTGCGACTTCAGAAAACCCCACAAAAAAAGGTCTAGCGGGGTCAAATCGCACGATCTTGGTGACCAATTCACATCACCTCTGCGAGAGATAACCATACCCTCAAATCGTTCATGCAGAATGTCCATCGTTGCGCCCGTGTGTGGCACGTAGCGCCGTCCTGCTGGAACCACATGTCGTCCACGTCCATATCGTTCAATTTGGGCCAAAAGAAATTGGTCATCGTTCTGTAACGCTCGCCATTGACGGTGATGGCCTCACCAACGTCGTTTTCGAAAAAGTACGGACCAATGACGCCGCAGGCTCAAAATCCGCACCAAACAGTAACTTTTTGTGGATGCATTGCTACCTGGTGAACCTCGTGTGGGTTGGCGTCGTGCCATATACGGCAATTATGCTTGTTAACATAGCCATTCATCCAAAAATGCGCCTCGTCGCTAAAGATGATTTTTCGGCCAAAATTGGGGTCCTCTTCCAAATGCTCCGAAGCCCAGTCAGCGAACAAACGGCGTTGTCTATGGTCATTAACTTTGAGCTCCTGGGCCAGTTGGATCTTGTACGGGTGCAAGCCCAAGTCCCGACGCAAAATTCGCCAAGTTGAAGTCTGCGAAAGGCCGAGTTCTTGTGCACGGTGAGGAATTTACTGCCTCGGGTTCTCCTGCACACTTTCACTTACAGCGGCGATGTTCTCGGCCAATCTGGCGTTCCTTTGACGTACGGGTGTTGGCTGATCGTTTACCGAACCGGTCTCGAATTTGGCCACCAAACGTTGGAGAGTCGACTTTGAAGGGCCACCGCGTCTGCCGTAAAATGGGCGCAACGGGCGCAACGTTTGCACTAACGAACACTCATTTTGATAATAAAGTTTTATCATTTGGACGTGCTGCTCAATCGTGTAACTTGTCATGGTGATTTGGCATCAGTGACTGAATAATAAATAACAGGTTAGACAGACGCCGCCAAAACAACATGGCCGCCACAGGCTGTCAACTTTGACTCGCACCAATTGAAAAACCCTATATATATATAATTTTTACTATATTCTGTGTAGTAGCTCAGATATGAACCAAACTATCATAGACACACCTCGTTACCGAGCGACATCGACGTAGTTGACGACTGATGTCTATTTTCTCAGGGGGCACGTCGAATTCATAAAAATTTCTGAACTTTCGCTGATGGCCGCTCTCAGGTTTCTCTCTGATATTAGTAAAAATTACTTACTACGTAAAATAAATTGTTATATGATTTGTTAATGAATGGAATTATACATCTTCTGAGTGAATATTATGTTGAAGATGAATGAAATAAAAGATTAATACATATAATAGATATAATAGATATAATAGATATAATCGTAACGTATCATTGTTTCGCACCTATTCGCATACAGCACATAGGGCATTTCTTCATTCAATATTATACTTTATATATTCTATCCTCTTCACCTCTCTCTCTCTCTCTCTCTCTCTCTCTCTCTCTCTCTCTCTCTCTCTCTCTCTCTCTCTCTCTCCCTCTCTCCCTCTCCTCTCCTCTCCCTCTCCTCTCCCTCTCCTCTCTCTCCCCTCTCTCTCTCTCTCTCTCTCTCTCTCTCTCTCTCTCTCTCTCTCTCTCTCTCTCTCTCTCTCTCTCTCTCTCTCTCTCTCTCTCTCTCTCTCTCTCTCTCTGTCTCCCTCTCTCTCCCCCTCTCTCCCCCTCTCTCTCCCCCTCCCCTCTCTCTCTTTCTCCCTCCCTCCCTCCCCCTCTCTCTTTCTCCCTCCCCTTCCCCTCTCTCTCCCCTCCCTCCTCCCTCCCTCTCTCTCTCTGTGTGTCTCTCTATCCTCGATAACCTTTTTTCGATAAACTGATCGGATTCTGGGATTATAATTAATTTGCGCAGGTGCGAGAAGATAGAGACAATGCATGTGCACTTCCTACTTTGTCTCACTTTCATTATTCGTAATTGTCACTTTCTCCTATAGAAAATAGGAGCCCATGTGCTCCGTCTATTCATATTATGTATGATATATACATGCATGCATACACGCATATTCTAAATAGGAAATACAGAATATTTTCTAATCTTTCTAAAATTTTCCTCGTTACAGCTTGATACAAAAATTGTGGAATATTCGAGTGGCATGGGTTTTAATCCATCCAAGATCAATTAAGTTGTTTGAAAATTTTTAGGTCATTAAGATTTAGAGTTTTGTGACATTATTAATTGACTCCTGGTAGATTAAAACCCATGCTTCTTGAATATACTATTAATATATTTCGTTTCACTTGATTAATATTCATTTGTTTAATATTGCACTTTATTTTTAGACATACAGACATACAAATAAAAATGCTATACAATACTTATGTCACTAAGATATCTATCGTAACAACAATATTGGTATAAGGAATATAAGTTACATAAAAATTGACACAATACAAAACAGTAAAAATCAGTACAGAAAGTCAGGAGTCTTGTATTACAGGTGCAAATTGCTGCAGCGGGTTAGCCTCACTCATAATGACGACAAAAATCATAGATCTCTATACACATACTATAACAGGTCACTAACGTATATCTGCGAAATATAGGAAGCTATGCAAAATACAATATACAAAATGTTGCATTTCAATGAGATGAGAAGAAATTACTTTCAGTTTTACAAATTTCAATTTGTTGGCATTAATGATGAGAATCAAATCTAAATTTTCCTTCTTTCTCAAGCCATCATTTCTTCACTGTTTGAATCACTTTCTTTAACGTCCATAAGTTCCACAGGCGCGTTAGTAGTCTAATATAATATCTAAAAGTTCATGTAAGAAACTTATTCATGTAAAATGATATATATATTTTTAGACTGAACTCTAACCGATTTATTTGAATTGTTACTTTCATCCCACCGCAGCATACACCTAGCAGCCTAATGAAAATCCTCTCAAACACATTCACGATCACGATCAGAATCACGATCACCATCACGATCACAATTATTGATATCAGAGTATCCTACACAGTCCACGTCACTTATAGTTACTAGGAGAATCTACTGTCGTAGTTTAAACAACATTCGATTACGGACCAAAGTGTTTACACGCAAGCTTAAAGCGATTTATTCTTGATTAATTCTGGTTAAGATAATGATCTCTGTAAAATACTCTGAATTATTATGCCATTTTAGCCTATTTAGCATCGTAATTGGAGAAGACCTTTTTCCATTGATTAGATTCAATTCCGAAAAGAATTTCTTCTTTAGCTATTAGCAATATGAGCAGTCTGCTCGTCGCCGCTTTCGACGTAGTCATTCAAATTAATGTTATGCTTGGCTTTGAAGTCAGTCTTAAAATTTGCTTGCTGGGCAGTATCTTCCTGGAACATTTCAGTAAAGTGAAAGCTACCACCATTACCAGTCTTTCCGTTTGCGTTGCCAATGGAACTATTGGAGTGAACCTCGTTGAAATGTTTGTACAACATCAATGTTGTGTTGAACTCTACCTCGCATCCCGGCGCTTTGCATCTGAAATATCGGCTTATTACGATTAATTACACTACGAAATACTCGTACAAAGCACAATTTTAACTGCGAATTGCATCGCAAGAAAACGCTCACGATAAACAGGCGTGGGCCTATTATTCTACGTATTAATTTACTGACACTTTACCGAAACACTTCATTGTTCTTAGTAGTAGTTTGAACTACTGGTGACTTGGAATTGGCATGATTGTCCTGATAATGTTTCCATAAGCCAGTTACGCTATTCACCTGCGTACTACACCCAGGCACCTTACATCTGAAAAAAGTTAGATGTATTGCATTAATTTAATAGAAGTTATTAAAAGTAATAGTTTAGTAAAACTTTATTGAAAATTATAAAACATCTCTTTATGGTATGTATATCATTTAGCACACTCACATAAAGAAACTGACAGTGGACAACTTCCCTTGCTTCACCTTGGATATTTGCTTAGTAGCATTGGAACTAATTGTATTTGTGACTAATTTGTGACTGTCTTGATGATGACGATAATGCGATATGTATTTGTACTTTTTCCCGCAACCGTTTACGTCGCATTTATATGTTTCCTGTTTGTACCTAGACATGCGTTGTTTCTTCGGTGTATATTCCTCGTCGTCAGAACAATTGCTATTGGTCTCTAGCGTGTTGTCTTCGATCTTGGAAGAAGTATCGCGTTCGAGGCCACTCCTAAAAACCCGCTCCAAGTTTCCTAAATCTATTCTATGTTCCTGACTTCGTATATTCATATTGCATATCTCCGTCTTCATGTTCTTCGACGTGATGGTCACATCACCGCTTATATAGACCACACTGTTTTTATCTTGCGAACATTCCACTTGAAGAACCTCCTCACACTTAGGCGTGCCAGCATCATATTTCCGTAGGAAATTGTCCTTAATTATAAGTAAATCTTCATTCTTTGAGAACTTATTAATACCATTTATAGATTCGTTATTCGAGTATTCTTCGCTGTTCGTAACAGCCGTGATTTTATTTTGCTCATGACAGAATTCAGTCTTTGCTGGAGGTTTCCCATCATTCCTAATATGACAGCTATCATCGTTACTTCCATAATTTTCCTTCTGATTGAAGGTTTCACTCGGCAGTTTTTCGTAGCATCCTTCGTCAGTCTTTTGTGCGACTTCCTCGTCTGTCGCATTCTCAGAGCTTTCGAAACAAATTATCTCAGGCTCCATTGGCAGAGAAGACAACTGTCTATGACAGCTCTCAATATGTTCTTCGAGATTACTGCTGGTAGGATGCAAGGACCCGCAATTAGTATATGGACATGCATAGACAGTTGTTTCATTATTATGCCATTCTTGATAATGTCGCCACATACTACCCGGATCTGACAATTCTTCCCCACAGCCAGGCTCACGGCAACTAAGAAATATTTGCAAGAAAATATCTTAGAAATCTTATCTACAGGAAGAATATATTATATCTTCCAAAAATCTGGAAAATGTGCACGTTCTAAGATATATATTATTCGATATAATCATATAATAAATTTGATTTCAAGCTTACATGAATCGAATTTTTAAAGCCTCTAATGCTTCATGTGTCTTATATTCATCTTGATTGGTGAACACCTTACCACAACCTCGTTGTTTGCAAGTATATATATCCTATATATTTAAATTCAAATATTAAATCCATTTTTACAAGTACAAATAGACTATTAGCTATTATAAAAACATAGGAGTTTAATATCTTTAGTTTTAAAATCTAAATTCACTTAATATCTAATAAACAAGATAGGTTGGATCAAGTGGAAGAATGAATTTAGAGTACAAAAAATATGAGAAATATGAATATAAAACATACTAATTCAAATGCAACTAAATAAAACAATATAGAAAAACATATAGAAAAACATAAAAAAATATAGAAAAACAAGAAAATCAATCATCCTTTTGCAGATTACTAAAAGTGATTCAATATATTAAGAGTACAAAGATTTAGAGATGTTAACCGAATAATAATACTAAAATTCTAAGAAAATCTATCACAAAGTGTTTTCGCTTTTGTTCCAGTCTATTTTGCTATTTGTTTTGGATTAGGGGTCATCGACCCCACAACCAATGGCTTCCATGAATTTCACCTTTTTGGGCGCGATCTCCTCGATGGTGCGATTTCGCGTGACGAATCGGATAACACTGACTTCCGTGGGCCGGTCGGCACACGTCTCCGTACCTTGACCCATCACGCACTCCCACGAGTGACGTCGATGAGTGAACAGATTTGACGAAACTCACATAACCTGCATTACTTGTGAACGCCAAGTTTAACAAAAAATCTCTCCTTTGTTGAATGAAGAGTGCACGAAATGTCGCAGTTTCTCGCGTGGCCTAACGACCTCGTGATTACTTACCGATCGACTGCGTTCTCGTATGTACAGAAATTCGTCCAGATTTCCTCACATTATCGGTTTCTGTCAATAAAAACAATTACTTGTTGTCATGTCAGTGCGCCAGAAGCCAGAAGCCTCCGACAGCTGAGGCGCGCGCCGGCCGGTTGAGAGGGAGCATATCGAATTGAGAGCCACTGTCATGGCTGAATATAAAGCCAGCGGCACACGGTGCTTGTTTTCGTGCTGGATTGCTTGCTGGATGAAAATACTGCGTTCTAATTGGTGCATTTCCATCCATCTTCGGAAATGTACCAATCACAATGCAATATTTTCATCCAGCAAGCAATCCAGCACGAAAACAAGCACCGTGTGCCGCTGGCTTAAGCTCTAAAGTTTGTTCTTTTTAGCTGAACTATCTGCACCAGTTCACGAAATTTGCACTAAGGCCCAGTTCCACAACTTGCTTTAAACGGAGTTTAAAGCTAAACCAATGGTTAAAAGCAATAGTATATGCGCATATACTATTGCTTTTAACTATCGGTTTAGCTTTAAACTCCGTTTAAAGCAAGTTGTGGAACTGGGCCTAAAGCGTTCTTTTTATCTAAACCGTGCAAGAGAAAGCGTACTTTTTAGCAGTGCAGACTGCACCAGTTCAGTCAGTATAGTGAACAGCAGACAAATACAACACTGGTTCACATCAGTGCAGAAGTGGCACCAATAGGCCTGTTCGTTTTGTGTGCACTGCTGAACTGGTGCAACAAGTTGAAGTGAGAAAACCTACGTTTGTCTCACTTTAACTTAATGCACCAGTTCAGCAGTGCAGTAAAAACGAACCGGCCTAATGATAAAAGAACATTAAAGTGCAGTAAGCAATATGGCGCATTACGCATTATTATTTGATTCTTCACATTTCTTCAGATGAAGATTTTATGATAATACCACCGTTACAACCTATCGTGGATGAAAATGATAACGGTAATATGAAATTAAATATACAATAAATTTTATTATATTATTAATTTATATTATAAATTTCAAGAAAAAAACTAAAAATTAACTATAACTTATATTAAATTTGTAGATCAAAATATATTAATATTACATCCAATTCTTGGTATAATTCAATGAATTGCACATATTAAAATTGTTAATTATGTAGAAAATATTGTACATAATTACAATAATATGGATTTTATAATGCACTTCCGTTTATCATAATAAATAACATACAGTTTAATAGTTCAGAGTTTCAGAAATATTTACTTCCATGGAAAGTAAGTATTATAATAAAAATTTAGATTGTCTTTAAGTTTTGTTTGCATAAAAGTTTAAATAACTTATATGTGATATAGGTTGGAAAGAAAATATCCAGACAGAATATCCGAAACTAGGAAATAAGACATCTTACGACCAGACATCTTAAAGACATCTGACGTCTTATGTCCCAGGTTTGGACATTGGTGCTGTCTGCGTAATTTACTTTTTAACAAAATAATATATTCTATGTTATATGTATAACTTAAAGTGTATTTTCTTATAGATCTTGTAGGGCGCTCTAAAATTACAGCCGAAAAACATATATTGACTTATCTATGGTTTATAGGGCATGAAAGTGCATCATACAGAGATGTTGCCGACAGATTTGGGATAACACTTAGTGCCTTGTATAATATTATTATTAGAGTTACAGATTTTATAATGTCTATTATGCCTAATATTATAAAATATCCAACTACAGTTGAAAAAATGGAAACTGCAGCTTTTTACGAAAGAGAAAAAGGATTCCCTGGTATAATAGGTAACATATTTATATTCATATATCTTTTAACTATTTTTTTATTAAATGGTGATGCATTATTTATATTTGACATTGTTATAGGTGCTATTGATGGTTCTCATATCCGAATTGATCGACCATTACAAGATTCTGATTCATATATTAACCGAAAACATTATTTTTCATTACATATTCAGGGAGTTATAAATCATAAAATGAAATTCATGGATGTTTTCATAGAATATCCGGGCTCAGTGCATGACGCACAGGTATTTCGAAATTCACCAATTTGCAACGATTTGCCTGAACTTTGAGAAGGTAAGAAATATAATATCGCAAAGGTAATTAATAACAAAAATTGATACCATTATTTCTTACAAATCTTTTTACAGATAATTATTTTTTCTGAGTGATAGTGCATATCCCTGTCTGAAACAACTAATTGTATCATATAGGGATAATGGACACATGCACAAAGAAAACTTGCAATCGCAAATTAAGTTCTTCCCGAGTGATTATTGAAAACGCATTTGGCTGTCTAAAACAGCGTTTTCAACAGTTATATCACTTTAAGTTAAGAAACATAGTGCGAATGGTTCAGATCATACACGCCTGTTGCGTGCTACATAATATTGCAGATGTTAATGATTTACAATATTTAGAAGAACAAATAAATGATGAATATCCTGATATTAAAGTTGTAAACCGCAATGTGGAAGTGAATGATGCACCTAGAGAAATAGAGAATGGAATAGATCGTCGTGAGCAATTATGTCGTTTAATTTGTGCAGAATAATGTGACATAGGAAATCGAATAATAATAAACAATATTTCAAATATACAATTTACTTTATTATCCTTTCTTTTATTACAAATATCTTTATTAATCATCAAATATCATTTCTTCAAATATAATTTATTACAAATATCTTTATTAATAATATTTTATTTTATTTGAAAACAAAACATTTCTTTAAACTTCTATTAAATATTCATACTTATAACATTTTTTAAAAGATTAATATTGATAACATAGAAACTTCAAATACAAACTTCTTGAAATAAGACTTTCATAATAAACTCTCATTTAAAAATAACTTTTATATTTAACTATAAAATTTTAATTACTGTAAGACTTTAACTGATATTAAATAAACATTTCATTCTTTTGTATTGAGTAGTGTAGAAATTCTTTGAGCAGTCGATTTTTTTCCTCTTTTAATTTATTAGCTTTTTTAAGTTGTTCAACACATTCTTCTTGTGCAATTCTTATTTTTTGGTGTATTTTTTGGCATTTAACAATTCCTTTTGTATCTCATTCTTAATATTTTTATCTTCAACAATGTCCGTTGACAGTTTGATTATACTTTTTTGGCAACTTTCTAAAAATCGAGCTGTAGTGCCCATTTGTTTTCTCTCATTTTTTTTTAAATAATGTCTGTAACATATATTTCTGATTAATTATTAATCTATTAATCTGAAACTAGTTATACATCACTAAAAAATATTTTTGTTCAACTTACTTGCTTGGAACAATTACAATGTTTTGAGTCTCAATATTCTGTTTTGAGGTTGGTACATCTGTTGCCAGTGTACTTCGTATGTTTGGCTCATCTATAGATTCATTATCATTATTATCATCTATTGGTCTAAATCAGAGTTCGGCAAAATGTGCACGCGACGGCCGATTTTCGACTACCTCCGCCCACCGCTATTCCCTTTACCTCGCCACTTCGCGCGCTGCCTACAAGCCGCTCGAGCCTCAGGAGCATGTTTCCAATAGTTTTCCACGTCACCCATGAGGTACTATTGTTGACGCGTTTTTTTTTTTAAGTAGTAAAGGGAATAGCGGTGGGCGGAGATAGTCGAAAATCGGCCGTCGTGTGCACATTTTGCCGAGCTCTGGTCTAAATAAATAGATAATAAATAAGTAACTAAGACATGAACATGAAACTTTACCTATTTTTAACTTTCATTATTCTACATATTAATTAAAGATGTTAGGTACTAGTAAGATGTTATACGCCCCTATTAATTTAAATTTATATATTTTTTTAGATATATATAATAATATTAAAATAAGTAGGATTTAAGTATGATATACTACTTACAAAAAATTTCTCTATTGCCACGTCATTTCTTACAATGAGGCCTTTTCTACTAGACACAGCTACCCACACAGCACATGATATTATTCGTATATACTGTTTTCATACTAAATATACTATAGATATATCTAATATACTGAGAATATCCCTATAATATTTTTCATAGTATCCTACACAGCACCGCAATATTGCAGGAATATTACAGAAATGTTGCAGGAATATTACTAAAATATTGCATAAATGTGACAACAATATTGTAGAAATATTTAATGTCCTAGGCATAAGTCTCGCAGAAATATTGCGGGAATATTGTTATGATGTTGTAGGAATATTGTCACAATATCAGAGGACTATTGCCACAATGTTGTTGAAATATCGCCACAATCTTGCAAGAGTACCTATGAAATATAGCCACAATACTGTAGAAAAATTGCAAAATATTGCCGAAATATTACTGCAATCGTGCAGGAATGTTGCTACAATATTTCTTAAATGTTGCTACAATATTGCAGGAATATTACTGAAATATTGCATAAATATCACAGCAATATTGCAAAAATACTTAATGTCCTAGGCATAAATCTTACAAAAATATCTCAAGCGTGGTCTACAATGGCAGTAAGTAGTAAGAAGTAAGCGTAAGCGGTAAGAAATAAACCAATCACAGTCGATTATGACAAAAATAATCAACTGTGGTTGGTCCATTTCTTACTGTTCACGCTTTCTTCTCATTGCTTACGGCCATTGTAGACCACGCTTTAGAAACACTGCGTTAAATAAAAAAATGTTTCAGACAAAAGTTGTTTGACTTGAAGGGGGACATAAGACAGCGATAGCATTTTGTTAATAGATGGTGCCACTTTCAAGATATTCACTGACCATCAATTTTTATAAATGAAAATCCCAACTTTTTATTATATCTTCTTTTTCTACCAATTAATTTGAACAACTTTTGTCTGAAACATTTTTTATTTGCTTAATATTTTTTGAGATATTTAAGGAAAACTTGGTAACTTTTCCAACATTTATTTTACGATATCTCGCTAACTATTCGTCGACAAAAAAAATAGTATTAGACTTTTTTACTTTATTTAATATCAAGAATATATTAATAGTGCCCTAACTTTTGTTAATTTAATAACTTTGAAATTTCCAAAGGTCGATAAGTTAACAAAAGTTAGGGCACTATTATAATAATATATTCTTGATAGTAAGTAAAGTAAAAAAGTCTAATACTATTTTTTCTTTCGACGAATAGTTAGCGAGATATCGTAAGTTAAATGTTGAAAAAGTTACCAAGTTTTCCTTAAATATCTCAAAAAATATTAACCAAATAAAAAAATGTTTCAGACAAAAATTGTTCAAATTAATTGATAGAAAAAGAAAATATAATAAAAAATTCGGATTTCCATTTATTAAAATTGATTGTCAGTGAATATCTCAAAAGTGGCGCCATTTATAAACAAAATGCTATCGCTTTCTTATCCTCCTTCAAGCCAAACAACTTTTGTCTCGAACATTTTTTTATTTAACGCAGTGTTTCTGAGATATTTGTGATGTGACATTAAAATGGGACACCCTGTATATAAATTGTTTCACACTGCCATATTGCGGCGATAATCAGAAATATTACGTGGCGATCTGTCATGCTGGAATATAGCGGCAATATTCCTGTGATATTGCAATGAGATTTATCATCGCGCAATAACGTTGTAATATTGCCACTATGTTGCCATACGATAGTCACATTGTAACATTGCAGTAATATTACAGTGATATTGTAATATTCCAGTGATATTGTCTGATATATCGCTCATCTGTTAAGTCAAAACACAAATATTTTCGGTAATCATAGCTTCAGAATCATAAATTTTATAAGATTTGTAAGATGCTATAAACCATAATTGCTAAAAAGTTTTTATTAAAATCAGTATCTTATCATTACCATGTTTATAATAAAAATACAGATGTAATATTAACGTATATATATACGTCTTATATATATATATATATATATATAAGACAATTTTCAATAATAGAAATATAAATATAATGATAGCATAAAGAATAATGTTTATAGAAGTTCCCAATAAGAACTTTTCGCAAATTGAAAAAATTGTATATCTTATTCAGTAAAGGATTCTGAAACTGAGTACAACAACCATCAATAGCGTGACTATAAACTTTGAGCTAACAGATATTAAAGAAATCGCTAATAATTCTTTTCGGGAATAATTTTTTTAAGAGTTTTCGAGTAAGCTTTTTACGATTTGACCATTTAGATCTAAACAAAACGGCGTATTTTCTTCAGTCTGTCTTTTATGAAAATCATTGATTTCTTAAAAAAAATTGTTATTTTATACCGGAAACTACAAAGATCGCGTTATTAACATTTGTACCTTAAAAATATGTGGGTAGTTTTTTTTCTAAATTTTTTTTCAATATGGCGGACTCAACATTGCAGCCGAAATCACGAATTTCATCTTATATCGATTTTTCTAACGTTTTTTCACTTTATAATACTGATTTATTCAATCTGTCTGATATATCACTCTGCAACATTGTTATAATATTCCTGCGATATTGTATCCAGCAAACACGGATATATAACTGTAATATTATCTTAATAAAATGAAATGTAACATGCAATATAACACAGATGTAGTAGGTTATATTAACGTTACTAGTAATTTCCTACTCATAGAAATTACAGTTATGTAACGTTAATGTTACATGTATATAACACGTAGGTAACATGTTACATAACCTTCAAAAAGTAACCGAATACTTATATAACTGTTATAAAACTTATAAAATTGTTATATAATCTTAATATTTCTTGTTATTGAATAGTTACATATGAGGAAAGACGGATTGGACAGTCATCTTTTCTAAAAATTAATCTAAAACATAAAAAAATGAAAATTGAACAAAGCATGAATTGTAATAGATATAAATTTTAAAAAATTCACGAAAAGTCATAGTTAAGAGTGTTGTTTATTATAACAGAACTTCTTTTCGATGAAAATATACAAATTTTGATATTTTTCTCAATTTGAAATAAATGAAAAATTTTTAATTAAAAAGAAGCGTAACAATTTGTGTATTTTCATCGCGAAAACAAGTTCTATTAAAATGAACATTACTTTAAACTATAATTTCGTGAATTTTTTACAATCTGATGTATATTACAATTTATATTGTATCCAATTTTAATTATTAATGTTTTAGACTAACTTTTGGAAGAGATGAGATGTCCATTTTTTTTTTAATTTATATTAAAAATTTGAGTAATTCAATATTTGTATGTGTTTCAAACGTGAATAGCATAAATATCAAATTATTTCAATAATTTCAAATAAAAGTTATAAAAATTTTATTTTTAATTACAATTAATTAAACAATTGGATATCCGTAATATTCATATTTGTAACAAATATGCGAGACAACATTTTTATCATAAAACTATTTTATTCAATTGGATAGAATAAACATACTTGAAATTTCAAGTATTCGTAATAGTTATTAACAGTCAATTAGAAAGTAATTTTATTAAAAGTACATTTACTTTTATATAAACTATTTTTATTAAATTTTAAAAATATATATATTTTCGTAAATATATATTTCTTTTTATTACAAATAACAAACATATATTTTTAAATATATGTAACATATATTATAAAAAAAAGAAGCAACGTTTCTGTACAAACTGTAAATAAAAACGAAAATAAAATTTGGAAACGTTGTAATGAAATCGACATTACACATTAAAATAAACACGAAAAAAAATGTCTGAAAACGTACATTACAATAAACTCACAAAAACTAAAAAAAAAACATCTGAGAACATACGTTATAATAAAATCACAAAAAGAAGATATTGAAATAATAATTATGATTGAAAAATGATAAAAACTGATAATATTTTAATAGAACCTCATCTATTTTAAAAGTATTAATTATTTTCGTCAGTCATTTATTCCGGCGGGCTTTCCTTTCTCTTCTCTCTGTTTTCTTTGTTTAGCAAAACGCAGCCATTCCGCCACTATATTATCAAATCCAGCCTCTGTTAAAGTAGAATGTTGTAAAGTAATTTCTCCTAAAAAAAAAATTAATGTGTTAGTATATATAAAATAATATTGGAATAATTTTTGGTTAACGGATGCTTTTAATAACGTGTAAAACATACTTCTCATTATTTTAATGAAATATAAATCGGAGACTTTAAAATTATTACGAATGCCTTTCCACGAACAATTAAGAGCGCACTCGTTTATGAATAGTTTTGACAGAGTGCGATGAATATTATCCCGAGGATTAATTCCTCCTATTTTGAACAGAAAGTCTTTCTATAAACAGTAATAAACAATTAGACAATTTAATATTTTATTATGGCAACACTTTATTTCAATAACACTGAAAAAAAAACCAATATGCAATGATGTACACTAACAAATTTTAAAAATGTACACTAAAAAAGAGCAATTGCAAATAGCGAAGCAATAATACAGTATCGAAATAAAACTACTATTGAAATAATTTCAGGATTTAATATCTACATACACAAGGAAAATTTATGTGATATGAACGAATTAATGTAAAATTAATGTAAAAACTTACGAATTGTATTACTGCTTCATCAGTATCGTGTAATAACGCTTCAAAGTCTCGTATGCTTTCAATTGTTTGTAATGGTAAAATTTTTGCGATTTTACTGTTCTAATCGCTGTTCCTTAAAACGGGAGTGCGAGTCGTCATTGCTTCTTCTATTCTGCTTACTCGTTGTTTCAAATCTTGTAATATTAAATTCGACGTTGCTTGCATACGTAACATTTCTTTTAAATATTCTGCAATACAATAATTAATATTACACCTATTACTAAAGTTATTAATAAAGTATGTTATAGATAAAATACAAAATAATGTTAGATATTTGTAATTCAAATTATATACGCACACACTTATATAATAGCTGCTATTGAAGTAGTAGCCAAAAGCAAAACTACTTTTACTGATATGTATCATTACTTTTCTTCAATGTATCTTTATATTGTTCTGTGTCTTTTTAAAATTTTACGAAGCACCGGATTCCATTAGGAGAATTATTCCAATTGATATCAGTGACGGAGTGTGTGAATTGTCAAAACATCTTTTATAAATTGCAAATATTCTCCTAAATGCCTAATCAGATTAGGGATTGGAGATTGAAGACTGTGAATTGAAGGTTAAAATTAGATTAATTGGAATAAAAGTAACCAAGATCGAAGTTCGTCGAAATCTAATGTTCAATCCAATTCTCAATCATCGATACATTATCTAATATGAGTATAATAGGATCTGATGACCTGTAAAATTTTAAAGAAGCATAGGACATAATATAAGAATGCATTGAAGACATGTTATGATATATATCAATAAAAGTAGTTTATTTTTTGGTTCAATTTCAATAGCACCAGCAATGGCAAAAAGTTTGGACAAAAGTGACAATAAAAAATATTGAAACATCTTTCTTATTAATGGAATGACTTTTTTTAGGGACTTAGACTTATTTCCTAAAATTAAAGAACTCATCATAAGTGCATAGTTTTGTAATATGCAAAAGATGTTCAAAGCAACAGGGCATTCCATCGCGGATATTAAAAAAAATACTGCAGTGATGGAATGCACTTACTCCCACAAACTTTGAACAAGTTGTGGAACATGATATTATATGGAAAAAAATTTAATATTAAATATCATTAAAATAAAGTATTGCATTTTTTTATTTGTTGCTACTATTTCACTATTAACCATCGCGCGCGCGCACGCGTGTGTGTGTGTGTGTGTACAGAATATCTAGTAACTTGTGAAGCAGTCACGATGTACAGATAGAACAAATAACGGTGTACAAATAGGTCAAAATCATTAAAAAAATTATATACCATTTTGTAATTTTCTCAATATTTACTCCGTAATTAATGAAAATATATAAGCAAATGAGTACATAGGAAGCGGTAGAATAAGCTCTGTGTAAAAAAAAATGGCTTATTTCTTAGCAACGATAAGTAACAGTTGATTTTTCGGTGCGCGACCGTGTTATATACTGCATGTCATTCCGTCTCCAAATCAACTGTTACTCATCGTTACTAAGAGGTAAGCCAATTTTTGTGCACATAGAGTCCATTCTACCGCTTCCCGTGCGTTCATTCGTTTATATATCTTAATTAATTACAAAGTAAATATTGATAAAATTACAATATGGTATGTAACTTTTCTGATTATTTTTATCCGTTCTACCTATACACTGCGGCTGCTTGATGAGTTACGGAACACTCTGTACATTAATACATACTTTTTATATTTGGATCTTCTTGTACCTCTGCAGACGATGAAGCACACAATGAAGAACCTACAATGTTTAGACATATTAATGTTATACTGTTAAAACTTATTTTTGTTGATTTCAATAATGTGTACTTACTTTCCATTACTATAGGTATATCGTATGATTGTACATCGTCGGATGCTTCATAGGTTTTTATTTGTTCTGGAAATATATACAGTATTATAATAATGAATATTACATATCACATTGATAATAACAGTACATACCGTTATGACGTTGTGACATTGAAATGTCGTTTCTATTATTATTCCTCACATTAATATCTTCATTAATATTATATATATCACTGCATGTTAAGTCACCCGGAAATGATGGAATGGCAGAAACTATTTTTCTTGTATTAATTGATCTCTCTGCACACAAAATATTATGATATATCCTCCCTTGCGTAGAAGCCTTTACTACTTTTTTCAGAATCTATCATTTTAGTATGTGGTAGACTCATCTTTCTAGTACGGCAAAGATTTATTTTTTGTCTGTTATTAGAAAAGCTAAGAAATGCATTTGTAATTATAGAAAAGACGGTCCTCACCTCTGTGACAGATTTCCTAACCTAAACTATATCGTCAACTGTAACAATTATCTTGCTCCACAAAGCAGAACGACGATTTTTTCAAGTATAAAACTTGTTTGTCTTGCAAAAACGCGTCGATTAATTATTTTTTTGTCGAAATCAGAGGTGAGGGGTGGAAGTCTTCTATATAATTATCACATCATTTAATGATAGTGTCTATTTATGCAATAATATTCAGAATCATAAACCACAATTATCTGCAAGTATCATTATGTATATAATTACAAATTGCAGCATTCTCCATATTGCATTCTGGTAATTAATATTTGCTTATAAATTTTTGTAAAATTTGTTTTAACAATTTGACCAAAGGTGCACCGTAAACATGAGTAAACAATATAAATATCTGTAATAACTATATTTACAAATATTTACATCATTTAATGATGTAAATATAACGTACCTTTGGTCAAACTATTAAAACAGCTTTCACTGAATAAGCAATTTTCCGAACAGCGGTTTAGCAAGATATGAAAAAAATATTAGCCAAAAATTAAGTAAAAATTCTAGTTTGCATTACATGTAAAAAATTTGTAATATATGTCAACTGATTATTTAAAGATGATATGGATTACCTTATAAATAACGTCGTTCAATATTCACTACTTCTTGATTCCTTCCTGAGATCATTGAACTATATAACTAACTGGAAGGGGCGCTGGCCTGGTAGGGGCCGCGGCTAGAGAGAGAGAATATCCAAATAGTATCTCCGTTTTTGTCTGTCACGTATTACCTGAGCTAAAAACGTAAGCTCACATGTCACATCATGTCACTTGCGCTGTGTTACATAGTAAGGAGAGCGTAGTTTAAATTAATATAATTAAAAGGTTGAGTATATATATATATATATAATGGTAAAACATTGCAATATAAAAAACTGCAAAAATGTCTGAAATCCAAACGAAAGAATGACATTTCACAGGTAAATAGTCGAACTCCAGATAACCTCCAGATAACCTAACCTGATATATTTCTAATGTACAAATGTATTAATTAATTTTATTTAGCTTTCCTGTGACGAATGAAGAACTCGCAACAAAATGGATGGAAAATATTCCTGAAGGGTTGCTGCAAAATCATACAAAATCGACATTTATTTGTAGTGAACGTTTTAAGAAAGAATGTTATACAGTTGGTTCATTCTTTCAAAGAACATTAAAAAAGAATGCGGTACCAACTATTTTTCGAGAGACCGAAGAAAGTAAAGAAAATATTAACATTTGTCAAGTGGTGAGTTGCATAAATTTTATTTAAGTTTATAGCATATTTCCATCATTTTGTAAAAATGTGTAATATGCTAAGAAAGAAATACGAAGGGCCCAAATGCAAGAAGTCAAGTGCAAAATATATATTCTATTAATAAATTCAACGCTAAATGTGTGAATGTAAGACATAAGCAAAGCAGTCGTATACCACAATCCTCCTCAATGCAATACAGTAGATTAACGTTATGTATAAAGCAATATTGTACATACATATAAATTGCAGAAACTACTTTCTTCACATATTATGTTAATGTTTTGTATTGCACTGAGGACGGTTATGATCGAAATATTAGCTTATGTTGAATATTCACACACATACATTGAGCATTGAATTTATTAATAGAATATTTCATATACAACTTCTTACATTTGGCTTTTATTTATTTCTAAATTAACTTCTTGTTTCGACATTATCTGAATCATAAATTATTTCTATTTGTAAAATATCATATTGTTCGTTATGCCATAGATACAAACAAGTAGACTACGGGCCGTATTCATAGTCGAGTCTCAAGGCGATACTGAAGATCGTCTTAGTCAAGATTATCTTATTGAATGAAGATCACCTTAAAATCGATATAATTCATAAACATATATTAAGATAATCTTTGCGAAGAAGTTTTTGCCTAAGAAACTCTTATTCTATTTGAGAATATCTTCGCAAAGATTTGCTTAAGATGATACTTATTGATCATTCGGCTATTTCCGTATTATTTCTTTTAGGCCAACCAATAAAAATGATCCTTCCTTTGAGCTGAAGTGGTTAAAACAAGAGTGGTCTGTTCTTTTTAACTGTACTACTACACAGTGCAACAAGTTAAAGTGGACATGTGAGAAATGTGATACATTTGATTAGAAGAATTAACAAATTTTTATTTGCTAGTTGTCTCATTGTAAGATTTCAATCTTTAAAATTAAAAAATTTGAAAATGTCGAAGAATAAACATTATACAACTGTGGAAAGAAAACTTTTCGTAGAGATATTAAAAGATTTTAAGCACGTCATTGAGGTTAAAAAAAGTGATTCTTCAACACTTCATGACAAAGAACTTGCATGGGCTGAAATTTGTAAGAGATGTAACGATTCTTCCATGATTATGCAAGAAGTAAATATAACAAAATTAATTATACTACGTACAGAAAAGTTTTGAAATACAGCTCTAAATATATTAGTGATATTAATGTTTTCCCTTTTGCAGCGTACAGTTCAACAGCTAAAGAAACTCTGGACAAATATTAAACAAACTCAAAGAGAATTATTAACTAAAGAAAAACAAGCTCGTCTAGCCACTGGTGGTGGCCCGCCACTACCAGAAATAAACATTGACCCTGATGTTGCCATAATAACACCACATCTTTTAAAAACAGCTCCTGTTCTATTTACATCTAATATGACAGAAAATGAGATAAATGGTAGGTAACTTTAAAAATATATTTAAAAATAAATAAAGAAACATAAGTAAGGCATATATATATATTTATGTATAAATTTCTTACTATTAAACATAATATAGACTGCGTTCCAATAATCATTGCCAAACATTGCCAGCCTTCACAAACTATAGGTATATTCCATTTCTCGCATGAAATGCATGATGCACACATTTATCTATAGTTCATATTACATATATTATAGAAAATGTTCACATTATGCGCTTCATGCTAGAAACGGAATCTTACAATTGATGTCACGTATATTAAATATTTTCAGCACTGTCAATAATTTTGAAACGGTCATAGTTGCACATGCTAAAGATATAATTTTACTAGATAGAAAGAATTTTACAAATATTTATTATAATTCATATATTAATATATTTTATTTATGATTCAGAGAAAGGAGAACATGTTTTGAACCTTTTAGTAAATGATGACATCTCATCATTATACGGGAGTAATGTTGATGAGCTGAATGATAAAGAAATTAACAAAACACAAGGTATTTTCGATTAAAATTAATTCAAAATTAAATTTACATATACCATACTATCTGCGAGAAGGTACATAATTTGTTAATTATATAGATTTTATTAATACTTTTATATTTACTCAATTATATACAATAGAAAAAATAAATACGTTTGTTTAAAAATATTGTCAAATAATTTAGATTCATTATTAACGATTTTCAGATATAATAATGGAAGAGATGATTGACAAAGAGAACCAAGATACTAATCTTTGTAATGAAGGTAGTATAAACTATTTTTTACTTATTTTATAGTGTTAATGAGAGGAAGTAACTAAATATTGTTTTTACAGTTTTTGAGCTGAAAGAAGAAAATAAATTGGATTTTGCCTGTATGCGACCAGTAAAAATAGCAAAAGGAAAGAGAAATATAAAAGAAAATTTTGTTAGCGAGGAAGATACTGTAAAGATAAAAAGAATAAAGCAAATTATAGAACAAGAGAAAGATATATCAGATATAAAAAAATTTCATGAGAAAAGAATTGCTACAATGAAAGAAAATCTTCAAACAGAATTATTTGCTTTACAAATTCGAGAAGCTACTGCGAAAGCTGAGTTAGCCGAGTTACAATTACAAAGGGAGAAAGAAAATATGCGTTTTTAAAAGAAGTCTGTAAAAGGAAATATCGAAGTCCATTTAACCAAAGAAATATTATAAGAGAAAGTTATTTATTTTTAGCTGCAAGAAATAATATTAAAGTATTGAATAATATAGATTAACCGTATTATGTTAGTGTCCGATAACTCACTGCACAGCCACGATGTATACAAAATATTTTTCACTTTGTTATATTTTGTTTTATTATAAAAGAAAATTTAAAAATTTTATTTTTAAAATATATATAATAATAATATATATAATTAACAGTGGAAATGTGCAACAAAAAGTAAGACTGAATAAAATTTACTTTGTTATTTTTTGTTCATTGTATAAGTTATGTAATAAGTTGTATAATAAACTATCTATACAGTCTCTCAATAAGTGCTTCTCGCATTACAAAATCCTCTCCCGGCTACCAGTGTGGTTCAATTGGTATTTCTATTTCATTATTTTCTTCAACTTCTTCTTTTGGTAACATATCATTAAAAATTAAAGACATGTTATGCAGCACAGCACACGCAACAACTATTGTTGTTGAACCAATTAACTTGTTGCTTAATCCTCTAGATAAGCACGGAAATCTACGTTTCCATATCCCAAATGTTCTTTCAACAATCTGACGTGTTCTTCCGTGAAGTACATTGTAACTGTAAAAAAATACATTTGTTTACTAACGTTTTATAAAAAAAAATATATATATAACCTAATGTAACCACAGAAAAATACTAACGCAATTTCCTCATCTGTTTGCGGATTCTGAATAGGAGTTAAAAGAAATAGTAAACAGGGATATCCTGCATCTCCTACTAGAATACCTGGCAACTGACGTTGAAAGTATTTCATGTATATAGCAGAATTTTGAAAAATTCTACTATCATGTTGGCTACCCGGCCATTTTGGAACAATGTCCAAAAATTCTGTTCTAGGCCCAACAACAGCCTACATATAAAAATATATTAAACCAATATATTTTAGTATAATGTACTTAATAACATTTTATTACAATTAATATGTGTGTATTTACATATGTTGCATTGCATACCTGTACATTTAATGATAGATATCCCTTTCGATTTCTATAAATTTCTTCTATGATCTGCAATTTGGTACCAACTAATCATACATGTGTACAATCAATAGCTCCATCAATCCCTGGTAAACCAATACCTCCAGCACGACGTCCTATATCTTTAAAAAGATTGTGATTTTCTCTTATAGCATCTGGTGTAGAAGACATTTTTATAAACCTATTGAATATCCTTGCTAACAATATGGATACTCGAAATACAACTCTTGATATAGTTGGTTGCGAGACAATAATTGTATCTCCAAGTACTGCCTGTAAAAATATAAAAAAAATATATATTATTTGCATTAATGAATCCAAAAGAATTATAATTATAAAATATTATTTGAAATAATTATGATAGATATCTCAATATATCCTAGCAGGATATAGCTTGGATAGCAACCTTTGACTTTGAGAGACTGTCAGCTTGTACCACCAGGTACAAGTAACAATGCCTCTCTTTGTAGTCGCCGTGCGCTCGGGATAGCATTAGAGATGTCGCTTCCGAACGACATCTCTCAACGTTATCTGGGGAGGGGAGAGTGTCGTGAGCGTGGAGCGTCAGATAGCTCAGTGGTCTAGAGCAGTCGCCCGGCAAGCGAAAGACCCGGGTTCGATTCCCGGTCCAGCGACTACCGTGCTCTCGATATTTTTCTCTCCTCAGAACGAAAAATGAGATGCAGGTCCCGAACGCACGGCGTCCCGTCGCCACCTAGTACGCCCTCCTTCTTTCATGGTGGATCCCCCTTCGGCGCGTTGCAAAACGTGTCCAAGCGCCCGGGGGCAGCCAAAATATGGCGTCGACCCCGGGGCTTATTTCTATTATTTGCACCGGATAAGGAGGGGCAACGGTGGAGGCCGGCATACATGGACAGCAGGTCTTAAAAGGATAGCAACCTTTGACTTTGAGAGACTGTCAGCTTGTACCACCAGGTACAAGTAACAATGCCTCTCTCTGTAGTCGCCGTGCGCTCGGGATAGCACTAGAGATGTCGCTTCCGAACGACATCTCTCAACGTTATTTGGGGAGGGGAGAGTGTCGTGAGCGTGGAGCGTCAGATAGCTCAGTGGTCTAGAGCAAGTCGCCCGGCAAGCGAAAGACCCGGGTTCGATTCCCGGTCTAGCGACTACCGCGCTCTCGATATTTTTCTCTCCTCGGAACGAAAAATGAAATGCAGGTCCCGAACGCACGGCGTCCCGTCGCCACCTAGTACGCCCTCCTTCTTTCATGATCATCAAAACACATCATAGGGATATCTTACAGAAGTTGTAATATCTTTAGGATATGCTTATGATATATTTTGGATATTTCTGCTGTGGTATAAATTTATCATGTATAATATATACTATATATAATAACTTATTGCATGTATAATTAAATATTTTATCTTCTCTAACCTGAAAACTGCCTGTAGCGTAGAACCGTAGACAAATTAACAATTGATATACCGGACGTATTGGAAGACCACGATTATTATTGCGTGCAAGTCCTTCTTCAATTTCTGGCAAAATTCCGTGTATTACAGATTCTTTATTAAATCTAAAACGCCTTTTAAATTCTTTGTTACTATAAAAGTGAAACGGATCGAACCAGTCTCTAATATATCTTTTCGGAACACGCACGTCTCTTTCATCGCTATTATCATCGCTATTAATATCCTCTATTTCTAAATCATTATGTAAATCAATTATATTTACCACTTCCATATTAAAAAATAAATTTGTTTAACTACGGACAAAATAGCTACACAAGCACTGAGCATTACTAATATTTTAAGTCTACTTTTAACATGACTTGATGAAGACCGCCTTATTTAACTATATATACGTCGAATAAGATAATCTTGAACGACTATGAATTTGGTAGTAATAAGATAACTTTAAGTCAATGCTTATATGAAATAAGATTAGTTTATGAATAATATTAAGAGGTTTTAAAATAAGATAGTCTTCGAACAGTTTTGCCTTCAGGTTTTGCTCAAGTCTTCGCTTATTTGTTGATTATGAATGTAGAGAATGTCTTGAGACCAAACTTAAGGCGGTCCTCAAAATAAGAATCGACTATGAATACCACCCTACATGCATCCCAACAACATAATAATGAACTCAGTATTGAGTTGTCCCCAAATGATGCTAGTGTACCTTACCTGGTAGTAGGTAGTACCTTACCTGATTCAAGAATGGTATTCACAATGGCGTTTATTACGGATAATAATTGTTATATACATACATATATATTGCGAGATATGTCGCAGTTGGAAATAATTGCTTGTAGATTATTTTAAAATTACTTATGTTGAAGGTCAATGAAAGCAGAATTACTACAATGAAAGATAACGCGGTACAAGTGGAAGTGGTGTGTCTTTCCTGAAATCACCAAAAAGAAAAAGAATGACGGATGTTGGAACACAAATAGAAGAGGTACAGTCTTGTAAAAAAATAAAGAAAGATGTTGCAGTTCAAGTAGAGAAACGACTGTTACTTCTATCTCCAAAGGAAGCACAAACGAAGAGGAGACTTGTAATATTGCAAAAACGTTTAAGACGAAGAGACAAATCCATAGCATCCATGAAAGCATTAATAGCTCATCTAAAACAAAATGATAAATGTACTGACGCATTAGAGCAGGCATTAGAAAATAATTTTACAGGATTAACCTTATATTTAATAAAAAATGAATTAAAAAATGAAAAAGTTTCTCCTTCTCGCAGAAGGTATTCAGATGAGATAAAGCAGTTTGCATTAACGCTTTCATTTTACTCTCCAAAGGCATATTCATTTGTACAAAAAAAGTTGCATTTGCCACATTCAGCAACATTGCGAAAATGGATGAGTACCTATAAATGTGATGTTGGTTTTCTGACTGAAGTTGTTCAATTTTTAAAACAAGAAGTTTGTGAGAAAACGTACCTAAAAAACGTTGCTTTAATTTTTGACTCAATGGCTATCCGTAGTCATTGTATGACGCACAAAATGACAAATTCCGAGGATATATAGATTATGGCAATATTGCGGTGGAAAATAAGGAAGAGTTAGCCAAAGAAGCTCTAGTCTTTCAGATAGTATCATATACATATAGATTTAAATGTCCAATTGCTTATTTTTACGTTAATAAATTAAATGCTGATCTCCAAGCACAGTTATTAATCCATGCAATTAAAGTTCTACAGGAAATAGGAATAACCGTATGATCAATAACATGTGATGGATGTGGGACTAATAAAAAAACTTTTGAAATACTTGGTTACTATTTTTCCAAAGAACCATTTACAACAATGTTTCGACATCTAACACATAATAGTAATATATTAGGTTATTCGGAAAGTTCGTTTCAAATTTTTTAAATAAATTAAGAGCGCAATATTTTACGCAAAGAGGAACTTTATTGAAGCAAATATGTACCGTTTTGTTCAACGACCTTGGCCCATCTTTCAGGAAGCTGCATGATGCCTTTGCTCCAAAATAAAGGTTTCTTATTGGCGAAGAATTTATCAAGACGACTTTTCAGGACTTTCAAAGACTCGAATTTCTTGTCCCGAAGAAAATTTTTTAAAGAAAGAAATAGATAGTAATCAGATGGGGCAAGGTTGGGAGAATATGGAGGATGAGGAAGAACATCCCATTCGAAGTCTAACAGCTTCCTACGGATAGACATTGCGACGTGAGGTCTGGCGTTATCATGATGGAAAACAATTCCACGCCTGTTGGCCAATTCAGGGCGCTTCCGTGCGATGGCAGTCTTCAGTTCGTCTAGTTGAAGGCTGTACTTTGCCGCGTTGATGGTTTCGTTTGGTTGAAGAAGTTCATAATATACCACGCCCTTAAAATCCCACCAGATACTCAGAAGAGTCTTTGGAGCGTGAAGCCCCGGCTGAAGAGGCGTGAAGCCCCGGCTTGGCCACTGTTTGCGTAGACGCGTCGCTAGTTCCCCACGACCTCTTGCGGCTAACATAATTGTATAGGATCCAACTTTCATCGCCTGTTATGATCCTCTTCAAGAACGGTTCTTTTTGGTGCCGTTGAAGCAGCATATCGCAGACGTTCACATGTTCCAGCAACTGCCGTTCATTCATTTCGTGTGGCACCCACACATCCAGTCGACTTGAGAATCCTAGCTTCTTC